AAGCAATCGCACGCTGCTCTGGACGTGCCTGAGGCGCAGGGTCGGAGCTGGGGTTGCTCTTGCGGCGCTGAGCCCCAGGTGGGCAGAGAGGGGCTGTCAGGAGGGCGGACCGTGGCGCTCCTGTACCGCTGCTGCTTTTGCGGTGAAGACCACCCGCGGCAGGGCAGCATCCTCTACAGCTTGCTCACGAGCGCAAAGCAATCGCACGTGGCTCCTAGGGCGCCCGAGGCACGGCCTAGAGGCGCGTGGTGGGAGCGCGCCTACTGCGCGCAGCGGCTGGGGTGTAGAGAGGGGCTACCGGGCGGGCGGGCAGTGACATTCTTGTGTCGCTGCTGCTTTTGCGATGACCACCTGCCGCGGGGCAGCATCCTCTACAGCATGCCCAGGAGCTCAAATCAAACGCCTGTTCCAGAGGAGCAACCGAGGGCCCCCTGGTGGGACATCTGTGGCGCGCATCAGCCAGTAGCCCTCAAGAATCCACAGGTGGTCTGCGAGGCAGCCTCTGCCGGCCTGTTGAAGACGATGCGCTTCGTCAAGTACTTGCCCTGCTTCCAGGTGCTGCCTCTGGACCAGCAGCTGGTGTTGGTGCGCAGCTGCTGGGCGCCCCTGCTCATGCTCGAGCTGGCCCAGGACCGCTTGCACTTTGAGACGGTGGAGATCTCGGAGCCCAGCATGCTACAGAGGATCCTCACCACCAGGCGGCGGGAGACCGCGGGCGAGGAGCTATCGCCCCTGCCCACGATGCAGCCACATTTGACATCGCCACTGGGGGCCAGGCAGTTGCCTTCAGCCGCCGACATCCATGCTATCAAGAGCTTCCTTGCCAAATGTTGGAGTTTGGACATCAGTACCAAAGAGTACGCCTACCTCAAAGGGACCGTGCTCTTTAACCCAGGTAAGGACTGCGGCCTTGGGTGTTGGCTTTTCCCAGATCAGAAAAGCTCTGGGCAGTGTCTTCCTACCCCAGGGCACAGGCCCTGAAAAGCACTGGGCAGTGTCTACCTACCCCAGGGCACAGGCCCTGAGAAGTTTTCAGCGGCCAGGTTGTGTCAGGGCACAATCACGACTAACTCCACGGAGTTGGGGTGGGGGGAGGGGGTTGCAGCAACCACTGCACATGGTGGTGGGGAGG